GCAGAGACCCAGTAACTTTTACCTCAGCTTTGGCCCCCACTCTTTGATCATGACAGCCAACCAAGAACGTCAGGAACCCGAGGGCCTCCCCAGCCGACTAAGAGCAGTCACCTCAATACTTAGAAGAGAAGCCTCCAGAGAAAGTGTGTCTGTGTAGGCATCAACATCCCCTCCCTCGCCCAAGCACAGCACTGTCTCCAGACACTGCCAGATGTCCACTCGGGAGGTGGTTGAGAGCCACTGAGCAGACACCCAGGCTGTGGGCATCACCTCCAGCTCCTTCCCGTCCATCCTCGGCACCCTGCACACGCCACCTGCCAGTGACAGAGCTGACATCCCAGGCAGGCAGGAAAAACATGGCCGTGGGCACCTTGAGGCTCAGAAATCACCTATTGACAAACAGTGGGTGGAAATTTCCACTCAGTGGGAGCTGGCTCATGGCAGTGGGTTTGTGGATTTTCGCACAGGTCAGTGTTTGCTCACAGAAATATCATCTTTACTGAGGCCAAGTCTGTTCCTTTTCCATAAAGCAACGCCTTTGTGTGCTGCTATCAAACACCATGGTTATGGAGACTGTGAGCAGTCTAAAATACTCATGACAACAAAATCGAGTGCCGTAGAATTGCGTTAGTGGGATTATGGGTGGCAGTTTCCTTCTCGTCTAAATTTCCTGTGGTCTAACTTCCGCAATACTCTTAGAATTTAGACATCAAATTTTGGGGCTATGCCCTAAGACACTGTCTACCCTAACCCCCAGCCAGGGAGCAGAACAATAGTTAGCTCAAGCCTGACAGTTGCTACCTGGGTCCTCAGAATCATTTCATAGTCTCTCAGCTCGATCCTAGACAGGGCATGCAGCAGCTACGTATCTCTGCTGTATCTAACTGCACTTAGGTTTACACAGTAGAGGTTATTAAAACTCAAAAATTACTAAATAAATTTAATTTCTAAAAGATGTGGGAGGCTGGCTCAGCAGTTGAGAGCACCGGCCGCTCTTCCAGAGGACCTGGGTTCAATTCCCAGCACCCACAGGGCAGCCCATCACCATCTGTAACTCCAGCTTCCTGAGTTCTGACACCTTCACACAGATACACATGCAGGGCAAACACTGATGCACGTGAAATGAAAATAAATAAGCGATTTGAAAGATGGGTTTACCTTTCTCTTCTGTAGCACGAGGAGGACCTTTCAGCGCCATGAACACTTGTTGGCAGGGGTGAAACTTCTAGCTGGGCGTCATCTGAACTTCCCCATGTCTTCATCAACGGCCTTACCATCAGATTGTGGAGAGCAACAGATAACGCGATGTTTGGCCAATAGTTTAACAAGATGGAACCCATCCGTGGCTCTGGAAGCTTTACTTGGTGGTGTAAGATGAACAGCTGAGGCATTGTCTCCCCGAGTCTGTGGAGACTCCATGTAGATTCCCTTCATATATGTAGACATTTTAGGATGCTTCTACAGTTAAGACTCCACATGGTTTTTCAAATCCCCTCCTCTTTCCTACCCTCCCATCCCCCTTCCCATTCAATCCTCCTATTCTGATTTTCCCTCTGTCTCTCCATTACCCTATATTCTATCCCCCTCCTTTGGAGAGCCTCCCCTCTGCTCTGGTCCCTTCCTGGGTACCTAACTCTGTAGCTGTTGCAATTATAGTGCACATATCAACCACTTGAAAGCTAACACCCACATCTGAGAGATAACATGCCATGCTTGTCTTTTGGGGTTTGGGTTTCCTCATTCGGGATGATTTCTTTTTTCTGAACTCCATCCATTTGCCTACAGATTTCACAATTTAGTTTTTGTTAGCAGCGGAGTACTGTGGAGAGTCCTCAGGGAGCTGAGACTCAACATCTAGCTATACCCCTCTTGGGCACACACCCAAAGGACTCTTCACCTATTGTAGAGATAGTTGCTCATCCATCTTCCTTGCAACGTTACTCATAATAGGAAGAATCTGGAAACAGCCTAGATGGCCACCAGCTGACAAATGGATAACGACAGTGTGGTACATTTGCACAGTGAATCATTACTCAGCTGTTGGGGAGGGAAAAAAACATGATCAAAATATATTGTATGAAGCCGGGTGGTGGTGGCGCACGCCTTTAATCCCAGCACTTGGGAGGCAGAGGCAGGCGGATCTCTGTGAGTTCGAGGCCAGGCTGGACCGACAACCTCCAAAACAATACAGAGAAACCCTGTCTGGTAAAACCAATATATATACATATATATGTATATATATATTATGAAAATTTTAATAAAAAAAGAAAGTTGTGAATGCTGCCATGCACCTGTAATGCCAGCACTCAGAAGGCAGAGGCTATCAAGTTCAGGGACTTGCAGAATAGAAAGTTCTACATCAAAAAGTCCAAGCCAGCTAAGGCTAAATAGTTATGACTGAATCTAAAAATATCAGATACATCTATATTCTCTCTGGTTGCTTTCTGCCATGTACGGTGGGCTAACCACTTCCTGAACGTCTGGGGATTCGTCTCTCTCTCTCTCTCTCTCTCTCTCTCTCTCTCTCTCTCTCTCTCTCTCTCTCTCTCTCTCTCTCTCTCTCTCTCTCTCCACCTCCTGTCTCAGCACAGGGGCACCGGAACTGCAGATACTGGGCTGCTTTCTGAGGATTTGAACTCCGGTCTCCGCCATTGCACAGGAAGCACTTTACAGATGGCGCCATCGCCCTAACCTCTGACTCCTTTTAGGAAACCCACTGTACCTCGGACGACCCCGGGAGCCACAGCACGGTTCCAAGTGAGCTCTCTTTTTCTGCAAGCCGCCCCCAACCCCACCCACGCCTGTGATCAGCAACAGCAGCTGTCATTGGGGCGCCAGCAGGTCATGATGGCACCAAGTTGAACCACACCGGTCAAGACTTTTCCTCCCTCTGAACCTTCTGAAGTCAGTTCACCTCTTGCTCCAATTCCCCACCTCACAGCAATAGTACAGCTATTTCTATTTCCGTTTTGCTTGGGTGAGTTCTAGTTGTTTCGTTTCTTGCGATTAAATAACGTGCAAAAGTTTGGTTTAGTTGTCTTTTTTTTTTTTTTTTTTTTTTGGTTTTTCGAGGCAGGGTTTCTCTGTTGTTTTGGAGGAACTCGCTCTGCAGACCAGAGCTGGCCTCGAACTCACAGAGATCCGCCTGCTTCTGCCTCCCGAGTACTGGGATTAAAGGCGTGCGCCAACAATGCCCGACTTAGTTGTCTTTTTTTTTTTGCTATTGTTTTGTTTTGGTTTTTTTGAGACAAGGTCTTCTATGGAGTGGATGGCCCTGAACTCACTATGAGATAGACCTTGACCTCATCCTTTTGCTCCCAAGTGTTGGGATGATAGGTGAGCTCCACCACACCTGGGTGCTACTAAATGAAAGCTCGTCATTATTTACCTAAGTATTAGACTCCAGGTATTATTGGCCTCTCTTCCCAAGCATGAGGACTTTAGTCAGAGAGTTTCAGGTCCTGGCTCTGCATTTCCTGAGTGCCTCCCCTCCCCCCTCGCCCCCCACCCCCCCAGGCAGTGACTCTTAGAAGCAGCTATAGGGGACGGTGAAGACTTTTTTTTTTTTTTTAACTCTTGTTTCGTTTTGCTTGTGTTTATTTTTTCAAGACAGGGTTTGTCCTGGAACTCACTCTGTAGACCTGGGTGGCCTTGAACTCATAGAAATCCGCCCACCTCTGCTTCCCAAGCGCTGGGATTAAAGGCAAGCACCACCACTGAGGTCAATTTGAGGGAGTGGATTATCTTTCCGGCACACGGGTTCCGAGATCAGACTCAGGTTGTCTGGTGCCTTTTCGCAGCTGGGTCACCTTGCTGGGCCACGATCTTAAAGTTCTCTCCTTCCTGCGGGCACCTCCTGTGCTGGGATTGGAGGTGTGTGCCGCCAGGCCTGGTTTATACCGAGCTAGTGATCAAAACAAGGACTTGGTTCACACTAAGAAAACACACTGGCAGCCGGGCGTTGGTGGCGCATGCCTTTAATCCCAGCACTCGGGAAGCAGAGGCAGGCGGATCTCTGTGAGTTTGAGGCCAGCCTGGTCTATAGAGCAAGTTCCAAGACAGACTCCAAAACCACAGAGAAACCCTGTCTCGAAAAACCAAAAAAAAAAAGAAAAAGAAAAAGAAAAGAAAACACACTGCCAACCAGCTGCAGCTGCCTGCATGGCCACTCTGAAGCCTGGGGTTTTGCATGTGGAGGCTCTCTGGCCCTGTTAGGTCCAGCTCCCAAACCTGCTCCCCTGGAAACCGCTCGGTGAGTCGAAGGATGTGCCCTACAGACTAAATGTGTGCTTCCTGAAAAGGAAGAGGAATGAGGAGCCATTAGGTGTTGGGCACCCTGCCTAAAAACAGAGAAATGACTCAGAAGTCGTGGAAGTAAGCCGGGGAATTAAAAACCACTTACCAGGCAGACAATTCTGTGAGTCCGTCTTCCCTCATCAGCTCGGCAGAAAACCCCTCAGGTGTGGGCTAGGCAGAAGCCTTGAGGAGGTCTCCAAGAGGGCGCAGTGACTATCCACATAAACTCGGGTGGGCAGGAATGCTACCCACCAGCCCCCGCCTTCCCCTTGGCCTCTGTGGTCTGAGAGCCAGATCTGGACAAGGCTTGATCTGCAGATGTCGTTTGAGGTCTCTTCCAGCCCAGGAGAGGCATCGCCAGCATGGGGAGCCCAACCCTCTGTTGACCTTTCTGAGCTCCCAGTTCTGCTGGAACCAAGGCCCTTTTTAGACAACGTTTTGTTGATTTCAGGTCTTAGGTTCTTTTAAGATGTTCCCAGTATACATTGTATCCTGGGGTCTGTCCAAAAGTTGAACACCACATGTGTGGCGGAACACGGAATCCTTGAGTCCAGAGAATCACATGGTTTGGTTTGGTTTTAAAAAGATGACAGTTGTGGGGAGAATGGGGGGGAAGGGGGAATCATCCCTGAAGAGACCGTTTAACAGCTAGGTGCTCCAGTCCCTAACACTTGCGTTTTGTCTGCCACGGGTGGCAAGGAAAGGGGACAGAGAGGAACCAATTCAGGAGGCGGGGAGGTGGCTTAGTGTGTAAGAACACTCGCTGTGACATGAGGGCCTGAATTTAGATTCCCAGCACTCATGGTTAAAAAACAAACATACTGCCGGGTGTTGGTAGCACATGCCTTTAATCCCAGCACTCGGGAGGCAGAGGCAAGTGGATCTCTGTGAGTTCGAGACCAGCCTGGTCTACAGAGCGAGTTCCAGGACAGCCTCCAAAACAATACAGAGAAACCCTGTCTTGAAAAACAAACAAAAAAAAACAAAAGCAAACAGACTAAAGCCAGCTTGGGAGGGAAGGTGGATCCAGGTGGACCTAGGGAGTTTAATGAGACTACCCCCACCCAGAACCCTCCTCTGGTCTCTATGCACTCGCATGTGGGTGACTTACATCAGTGAGCAACACCCCAGCCTTAATACTTATTCTCCAGGGGTCTTAGTGTCTGGACGATATAACTATTTGGACCAAATGACCTCTAAAACCCCTCTAGTTAAATGACCCATAGGTTTTCTGTAGAATATAACAGAATAACTCTGAGAGGTTCCCACCCCATGATCTTACTAGATTCTCATTGCAAGTGTGTGTGTGTGTGTGTGTGAGTGTGTGTGTGTGTTGTAAGAGCGTGTGTTCATGTATGCATGTGTGAGTGTGAGAGAGTGTATAATAGTGTGTGTACGTGTGAGTGTGTGAGTGTGCACGTGTGTGAGTGTGTATGTGTGTGAGTGTGTGTGTGTGAGTGTGTGTGTATTTTCTCCTAGCCTATGAATCAGGGAGTTCAGGCTCAGGGAGTTTACAGGATTCACTCAAGAGACAATAAGGTTAGAACCAGCTTTCAACCCAGGCCCTTTAGACGGAGAAGCCACGCGAACTCTGTGATGGGAATTGGCAGCTTCTGAGCAAAGGGGCCACAGGGACCTGGAGTCAGGGCTGTTGTGTTAGTCAGCTGCTCTTCGTAGGTGGCATACAGACTGCTGGGTCTCACGCCGAGTTCTTCACCCACATTATCATTTCACGTTGCTCTTCCTCCTGCCCCTCCCCCATCTCAGGGCAGCGCTTGCGTGTTTTTTTCTTTCTTTCTTTCTTTTTGTTTTACTAATTGGACATTCCGCATTATTAAGTTGATACAAATGTAGCTAGCTCTAGTGGCCCGGATGGAAGTGATGGCTCTCCTGCTCAGTTCCTGGCTCACACTAGGGAGATGTGAGCTGCTGTAAATCTGCTATCATTTAATCATGCGTGGTCTTGTTTGCTGTGTAGCTCAAGTTGACCGCAGAATCCCAATCTTCCTGCTTCGTCCTTCTAAGTTCTGGAACCACAGGCTGTGTCACCATCCCTACTCTGTCACAGCACGGTTTTGTTGCCCTTGCCTGTGGCCCCTCCCCCCCACTCCCCCTCCCTCCATGACTTGGAGAAGACTTCATTGGTTTTTGTACTCAAAACCACAAATATATAAGACTTTATGTATCAGTTAATCCCTGTGCAATCAGGGACAACGAGGTTTGCTTTATTCATTTATTTTTTTAAAGCCAGGGTCTCATGTAGTCCAGGTTGTGCTCAAACTCGCTATGTAACTTAGGGTGACTGAACTTCTGATCCTCTGCTTCTGTTTCCCGAGTGCAGGGATGGTACAACAGGCATGTGCCACCCCACCCGGGTATTAATGCCCAAACATGCGTGCACGCAGCATGCATGCACATGCGCACACACACACACACACACACACACACACACACACACACACACACACACACACACACACACGGTCGTTCAGCATTGCCACACTCCTCAGGAGAACCCCTGCCCTGAAGATACTGTGGCTTTATATAAATCTCTGAGAACTGAGGCTCTGGTTGAATTAAGAGTTATCATAGTTACACCAAAGAAAACCACAACTTAAATGAAGTTTGCCATTTTAGAGGACAGAGAGAAAGAGAGAACGGGTGTGGAGTGGGGTGAGGGGGGGAGACCTGGGAGGAGTGAGGGGACTGTGATCAGAATATACTATATGAAAACTTTTCAATTAAAAACAATGTTTTCCTTATTAACGATTCCTCTCTATTTTATTTGCACTACACTCCTGTTCACAAAACGGTAGCCTAGATCAACCACGACGCCCTCCAGGGGAAGACGGCCACGTGAGGCTGTGTGTGGAGCCGACCAGCCCAGCAGCCACCGTGGACACAGCACCGCCTCAGAACTGACTGTTGTTGCTGTGTTCTTGTAAGTCTCTCTTCATATTGACTTGTTTGGCTATATGCATTAGTGTCCGCCTGGTGGTATACATGCGTGGCTGTATACATGATCCCATGTGTAGTTGTATGTTTTATACCATGTGTAGTTGTATGTATTATACCATATGCATTACATTATGTGTGGTTGTATGTATGATACCATGTGTGGTTGTATGTGTGATACCATGTGTGGTTGTATGTATTATACCATGTGTGGTTGTATGTATTATACCCCATGTGTGGCTGTATGCATTATACCCCATGTGTGGTTGTATGTATTATACCATGTGTGGTTGTATGTATGATACCATGTGTGGTGTATATATTATATATACCATGTGTGGCTGTATGTATTATACCATGTGTGGCTGTATGTATGATACCATGTGTGGCTGTATGTATTATACCATGTGTGGCTGTATGTATGATACCATGTGTGGTTGTATGTATTATACTACATCTGGTTGTATGTATGATACCATGTGTGGTTGTATGTGTGATACCATGTGTGGTTGTATGTATGATATCATGTGTGGTTGTATGTGTGATACCATGTGTGGTTGTATGTGTGATACCATGTGTGGTTGTATGTGTGATACCATGTGTGGTTGTATGTATTATACCATGTGTGGCTGTATGCATTATACCCCATGTGTGGTTGTATGTATTATACCATGTGTGGTTGTATGTATGATACCATGCGTGGTGTATATATTATATATACCATGTGTGGCTGTATGTATTATACCATGTGTGGCTGTATGTATGATACCATGTGTGATTGTATGTATTATACCATGTGTATGCAGTTCTCACAGACGTCAGAAGGGAGCGTGGGGTCCCCTGAATCTGGAGTTACAGATTGTTGTGAGCTAGCACTTGGGTGCTGGGAACCAAACGGGGTCCCCTGTAGGAGCAGCCAGTGCTCATAGCCACGAAGCCGTCTCTCCAGCCCCGTCCTGTGCTCTCAGGACAGTGTCTCACTCTGGTCCCCACTTTGGCCTAGAACGTACCGTGTAGCTCAGGCTGGCTTCAAACTCACCGTCATCCTCCTGCCTCATTCTCTCAGGAGCTGGTGTCAACTGGGCAGCGGTGGAACGCACACCTTTAATCCCAGTGCTGGGGAGGCAGAGGCAGGCGGATCTCTGTGAGTTTAAGGCCAGCCTGGTCTGCAGAGTGAGTTCCAGGACAGCCAGGGCTACACAGAGAACCCTGTCGGATTTGGGGTGGGGAGGTCAGTGACTTAGGGTATCTCCCTCTAGGCTGCAAGCCGCTGACTCCTATCCAGACTTGCATGGGGCAGTGGGGGTTGGGGTGGGGGCACCGCTGACCGGTGTCCCAGCTGCTCACCCTGGCTTAGCAGCAGGCACTGTGCAGCTGGTGGCATCCGCACTGGTGACAACCACGCTGACAGCCATTCTTCCGTGTGGGTAGACGGCTGTGTGGAGCCAGATCTTATCAGACTTGCCCACGCTTGACCTTTCTTGGCAGCTTTTTTTTTTTTTTTTTTTTTTGGTTTTTCGAGACAGGGTTTCTCTGTGGCTTTGGAGGCTGTCCTGGAACTCACTTTGTAGACCAGGCTGCCCTCTCACAGAGATCTGCCTGCCTCTGCCTCCCGAGTGCTGGGATTAAAGGCGTGCGCCACCAACGCCCAGCTTCAGAGCCAAGTTCTAAGTCCGGCTTTCTTCAAAGCTTCCCATAACGTGAGGTGGGTAAGCAGCCGAGGCCCGTGGATGGGGAAGGTGGGAGGCTGCCCGACACACCGGGGCACGTGACCACACAGGTGGCCACAGCCGTGTTTCAGGCCTTGAGCTCTGGTACAGTTTGTAGAAGCTGTGTGGCCTCTGTTGGTCTGAGGGGACCCTGTGTTTCCTTACACCTGTCACCATCAAGACGCCACATCTAATTTTCTGCCTGTACAACACTGTTCTTTTTAGAGTCTCCAGACCCTGAAGGACGGTTACGTACTAAGGCCACTGTGTAGCCCACTAACCTAAGCTCTACTCAAAAAAAAAAAAAAAAAAAAAAAGATAAAGGCCTTAGAAATGCAAGGTTGTCTCTTGGGAACTGTGGCAGGGGTGAGGGTAGGAATCGGAGAGCATGCAGGGGTGAGGCTGGAGGAGGCTGGACTGGGAACTTATTTCCTGGGATTTCCCCTCTTCTGTGACCTCTGATCTCTGCCCCCAACCCCGGGCCAAAACGGCTAGACCACATTTGGGGTGAACTGCATAGAATTAGTGTTTTCCCAGTCAAAAAGGTAGGATGCGGGCAAATTCATTTTGGTTCAGCCCAACAATCTGCTCTCCCAGAGCCTTCTGCTGGCCTCTGTCACGGCCTTGTTTTCTGTTTCGTGGGCAATTAGGGTTCTCTGTGAGCTTTTCCTATATTTGGTGACAAGGCTCCTTGAGAGCAGAATCCTTAGCTGTGTTCGTCTCAGCCCGTGATGGGCCCCGCCACAGCTGCAAAGTGCCAGTAAGTACATCCGGGAGAGGGGCATAGCATAGGGATCTGAGCCGCGTGCACAGCGTACAGGACTAAAGGCTGGACCGACAAGGCGTCTTCTCAGGATGGTCTCTCACCTCCACGCAGGGGTCCAGACCGCAGTAGTGGGACATTTTGGGATCAGATAATTCCTTGGTGTGGGTGGCTGGCTGGGCTGTGCGTCCTGGAGGTCCTTGCCTCTGTCTCCCGGCAGCCCGGGGTGCATCTGTGCCTCCCCGCCACTGCATCCGTCCAAAATGTGTCCTCAGACCCTGCCCCGTGTCCGCTCTGGAAAACAAAGCTGCCTCACTCTGGAGCGGCTTGCCCTAGGTGTGTGGGGATGGAGGGATGCCTCGCCATGCGGCGTGGTGACTCAGAGAAACCGGCGACTGGGCTAGGTCTTGAAGGATGAGTAAGAATCGTGAAGGGGAAGCGAGACGGAGGCCACCGCGCAGGCAAGGGCATGATGGCTTCCCTTCATGAGCTTCAGGGCACCAGGTGCGCGAGTGACCCACATAATTGACAGACGGCTGAGCACACGCCCTCTCTCTTTCCAAAAGGACGTCCTACCAAGCCTTGGTTTCGGGTTTCCCCATATCCCGTGGCTGCCTCCAACCCCAGAAGTGTGTGGTGCCATCAGAAGACCTCTGTGGACCAGGACAGGTCACTCACAGCAGGCTTGATGCCAGAGCAGCTACGGCTGCAGAGTCCCACACTTTCTTCCTGCAGCAAGAATTTTTTTCTTCATCGGGGAGGTGTTGGGATTTGAACCGGCGTCCTTGAGTATACTAAATGTGTACTGAGCTACACTTCAGCCTTGCATCCATATTTAAAGTGCTTTCACGAGTTGTTTAAAGTGTACATAAGACTGGTCAACATTCGAGCAACAGTTACAGGGTACCCAAAGCTTCGTGTTGGTGGAGCCCTAGACTCTCTGTTTGGTCTTTGAATTCCCTTCAATGCTTCCCCCTTGCTGACTTCAATCTCTTTTCAGTCCCAGGAGAGCAGAGAGCTGTTTCCGTACCTATTCATTCACCAAACATTCCTCTGAGCATCCCACTGCTGTGAGAAGTCGTGAGAACTCCTTGGAGGGGCTGTGACTTATGCAAGTTGTGACTACATGCAAATGCCACACGGAATCTAAAGGTGGGCTTGGGGCTGCCGTGGGCTGTGGTTTCAGTAATCAGGAGGGGCTGGAGGTGTCGTGGAGAAGCTCAGAGACAAGCCGGAACCTGCTGGTTCTCCATGTCTGTGTCACCACACGGAACCGCCGACACCCTCACAGAAGAATGGTGGCTGCCTCTCATCAGGTTGGGGCAGTGTTGCCCTCCCTCACCCAAAGCACTTTCCCAGGATCCAATTCGATTTCACGTTCCCAGTGTCCCCATGAGAGGTGTGCACACAGCCAACAATTACCCCCCAACTCCTCTCCCAGACGAGGAAAGGGAGGCTCAGACGTGTTGACGTGTCCCCAGTCACATGTTTCATGGCTGCCTCTGGTCACCCACGTCTGTTGCGCCATGGTCTAGCCTGGCAGCTAGCCAGGGGTTCCGTTCACTGCGGCCGGAGGACCAAGGGTTAGGGGCTGGCTAGGATGTGGAGCCCCCCAACTGCCCTGAAGGGGTGCGAGCAGTCTCTTAGGGATAAGGACCCCTACCGCCTCCATTGGCGGCATTTTTGGTCGGTTTATTTTTCCAGTGATTTGGGGGTGTAGTGTATGTGCTTAATTGTTGCCTACTCAAGTTTCGTGAACGTGGTACCAAGGATTTACAAGTCAGTTTCTGTTGGGGAAGTCCTGTTATTTGCCTGTGCATTTGTCAATAAAGTACTGTCTGGCCAATAGAAAACCTAGATAGGAGGGACTAGGAGTCGAGGAGGATTCTGGGAAGGGGAAACACAAGAGAGTCAACATGTGACGCCATGGGGGTAGGACGCCGGGAACTATTCTCCGGTAAGAAACATACTTAGATTAACAATTATGGGGTAATTACTTAAGTCAGAGCTAGCCAGTAAGAGACAAACAAGGCCAACAGCTTCATAATTAATACAGCCTCCTGTGTGTTTATTTGGGACTGATGCGGATCTAGAACCAGGCTGGCGCGGCAGAGCCCAGGCGACTGGCGGGGGATAAACCAAAGCGGCTAGCAAAAGAAAAAGCTTCTCTTAACAAGTTTCCGCTGCAGGTATTGGTTTTCTTCGGTAAGGGCTGCCCCATAAACTCAAATACTGACCTGCCTCAGTGGGCCTACGTGGGGAGGATGTCTCTCACGAGCTACCCTTGAGCTGGACAGAGACCGTATGTGGTAATGACAACTGTCTTGGTTGGTAGTGACTCTCTGGGCTTGAGACCGTTCTGTGGGAAGGAGAGGGGGACTCTTGCTGCTATGTGCGCATCAACCTTAACATGGTGACCAGGGGACACCCAAGATGCATCAAGGTGCCACAGAGCACGCTGATCCTGGGTGTGTGTGTGTGTGTGTGTGTCTGTCTGTCTGTCTGTCTGTGTCTGTCTGTATCTGTGTGTGTGTTTGCCTGTCTGTCTCTGTGTGTGTGTTTGCCTGTCTATCTGTCTGTCTCTCTCTCTATGTCTGTCTGTGTGTGTGTGTGTCTGTCTGTCTGTCTGTGTCTGTCTGTGTCTGTCTGTGTCTGTCTGTGTCTGTCTGTGTCTGTCTGTGTGTGTGTTTGCCTGTCTGTGTCTGTTTGTCTGTCTTTCTGTCTCTGTCTCTCTCTCTCTCTCTCTCTCTGTGTCTGTCTCTGTGTGTGTATGTGTCTGTCTGCCTGCCTGCCTGCCTGCCTGCCTGCCTGTCTGTCTGTCTGCCTCTCAGGATCAGGGGTTCTAAACCCTTCCAAGCCAGATGTGACCTCCTCATGACTCCTTCAGTCATTCACAAATATTTACCGCACACTTCCGCGTGCCAGATGCAGTGCTGGCCACTAGGGATCCAAAGGTGACCATGTCAGGGACACTGTGTTAAATGTGTTCGCTGTCTAGTGGGTACACAGGTATAAAATGCATAGTAACGCTACAGCCATAGCGGCCAGGAGGGACCCTAGCGGAGCCTGTGCACACGGTGGGCAGAAAAGCGTGGCTGCTCATTGCTCTGGGGCGGCAAAAAATTGCACAGAGAGAGCAAAGATTTCGGGTCCCTCCCTGGAACATGTTGATGGGGTTGCCTCCCAAGGCTGGGCATCTCGGGGAGAAGGCAGGACGCACAGGTAAGGAGGACACACACCTAACGCTGCCACGGGCAGTTGGGCAGGAATAGACAGAAGGAAACGGAGACATTTTCTGCTGGCCCTGCCCTGGCGTCTTTTCTTCCTCCTGTCCTCCCCACACCCCTTTCTTTAAGTTTTTCATTTGTTTGGGGGTTTTTTGGTTTTGGTTTTGTTTGTTTGGTTTTTTGTTTTGTTTTGTTTTTTGGTCTTTTTTGTTTTTTGTTTTTTTGGTGTTGTTTTTTGTTTTTTCGAGACAGGGTTTCTTTGTATTGTTTTGGAGGCTGTCCTGGAACTCTCTCCGTAGACCAGGCTGACCTCGAACTCACAGAGATTTGTTTGGGTTTTGCTGTTGTTTTCTTCCTTGCATGCTTCCTCTGTAGCCCAGGCTTGCTCGGAACTCTAGCCCAGACTGAGCTAACTCGTGGCAGTCCTCCTGCCTCAGTCTGGGATTACAGGTGTGAATTACTGTGACGGTGTTTTCCCCATTTTCCTGTAATTGTGGAAGGTAAAAGTGACTCGGTTGCCTGTTCTCTGCCCCGTGGTTTTCCCACTTCCTGGTAGCCCCAGACGGTTTCCTTGGATCCGCACGGAAGGTGAGCTCCCAGGTGTTGCTCTGTTATGACACGGGGGGGGGGTACGTCTCATCTGGTCAGTCGGGGTTCGGAGAAGCAGAGCCCTCTTGAGGTCTCACAAGAGTGGGATTTTCATGCGGCTGCTGGAGGAGATGGGTGTTGGGGGCTGGGGCAGGGTTGGAAAAGGAGCCGGCAGGCAGGCAGTAATGACTAGCTGAGCTCACTTGCCTCTGTAAAGGAGCAGCGACAGATGCTCAGGGTCAGGTTGGGCCTGAGGCTGCTGGAGCCCAGGAGGCAGCACTTAGAAAGAGAATGGAGGTACCAGGAAGATATGGACCGGTTGCAACCTGATGACCTGTGGGTCTGTCACCTAGCTAACCCGAATCACCTTCAGAGAGGACGAGTAACCGCTTCACTTTGGTTTTTCCGAATCTCCTTCTGGACCCTCTGAGGAGAGCGACTCCATCTGTGCCGAGCTGAAGGCTTCAACCCTTACATTTGAAGTTGGTGGCGGCGGCGGGGACAGAGCACCCTGGCTTGACAGAGAAACACACACACACAGAAGGCACTAGGCCCGTGAACCAGAAACTCTCAGACTTGGGTGTGCTTAGGTGTGGGGTGTGTGTCTGTGTGTGTGAGAGAGAGAGAGACAGACAGACATACAGACAGACAGACACAGAGACAGACAGACAGAGGCAGACAGACAGACACAGAGACTGAGAGGGAGAGGGAGAAGGAGAGGGAAAGGGAGGGAGTTTTCAGAGATGACTAGATAGTTCCCAGACCTCTTTACTTACGGGCACAGATTGGGCGTCTGTTTCACAATCCTCAGCAGGAGATACAGACAAACTCCTGTCCTCCCTACAGAACAAGTTGCAGTTAAGTCGACTTGAGCAGCCTGCCGTGTGGAGACACCGTCTCGAGGCCCCGGGCACTGAGGCCATCCCCCCACATTACCTTCTGAACCAGACGTTCAATCTTCTGTCCAGTGGTTGTTGTCACGGCTCTTTTCAGACTCTCAGAGCAAGCTAAGGAAGCTAGTGCGCTCTCCGGCAAGCTGCTGGGTGTGGATGGACAGCCGCCAGGCTCTCACGCCCATACTGCAAGGGAATGAGGAGCTGGGACATCCAAGGTATGCCCCACCCTGCAAACCGGGCTTGCTGGTGACTCACATAATTGATTTGCCCCATTATTCCTGGGATCACCATTAAGGAGCACATGTCCGACACCCCAAAGTGCGTGGGCATCTCTGTGGGCTACCATATGAAGCACAGGAAAATGACGGGTACCTGCCTTGGGGGGGTCAGGATGAACAGACTTAAGAGACCCTCCCACAAGCCTCATTTGCCCCTCTACTTACAGATACACCCACCTACCCGCTGGCACTACAGAGACCCGCCACCCTGCTGCAAAGCTGTTGACAGTACCACCTCCAGCTCCCTGGGCAAACAGGAGATGTGGGAGGAGTTGGAGGTTGGAGGATGGGGAAGGGCCCAGATGGTGCAGCGACAGGGCCCAGCTGAGATCCAAGGCCGTACTGAATGACGCTTTCCTGAGAGGGGAGCGTGTGTTCCCCGCAGACAGCTCCTCCTGTGCCTTCGCGCTCTGTCCTCACAAAGGGAGCCGTGAGGATGCATGGGGAGGGCCTTTCCCTCACCCACCCATCTTCTTCCAGCATTGGTCATCGTTAGCCGGGGTCTGGTGGCTCTGCTGAACCTGCCCCCTCCAAGTTTTGTCTGTGACATCTGCAGTTGAGTTCCATCCTCCAGGAAGCAGACTCACCAGCTAGGACCAAGGAAGCTGTGTTTAAAAGAAGCATCGCCCCAGGGACTCCCAGGCAGCTGGGCAGGGGCAAGTTTATAGAAAACATTGGACTAGGCTGAATGCCTGCAGATGTAGGGTTGGCAGAGGAGGAAGGGGCGAACCGAATAAAGCCGCCTGTCCTAGATGGGAAGGAAGATCATGCACAAATGGATGATGTATACATCCTACAAATGCTGGGGAAGCCCCGTGGGCTGGCCCCTGCACTTGCATCAAATGACCTTGGAGCAAATGTCTCCATCAATGTTCTACCTTGGACTCCTCACTTGCCTTCTTCAAAGCCCTGGTGTCAACAGCCAAGCCCAGCAAACAGAAAGCAGATGGTGTTTGGTGAGAGAGTAAATGTATGTACTTAACAGCCATACACCGAGTGATGGGGTGAATGTCCTTCTGTATATGTGTTTCTCTTATTGGTTGATGAGTAAAACACTGTTGGCCAACAGGGCAGCAAGATAGGCGGGGCTAGGAGACGATAAGAATTCTGGGAAACGTAGTCAGGTCAGACGCCACGTGAGACCACACAGGGGTAAGAGGTCAGGACCCTTCTCTGGTAAGATGAGACCATGTGGAAATATTTAGATTAATAGAGATGGGTTAATAATTAAGACAGAGCTAGCCAATAAGAAGCCCAAGTCACCTGCCAACAGTTTCACAATTAATGTAGCGTCCGTGTGTTCATTTGGGGCTGGCACACCTGTGGGACCAGGCTGGCAGTGCTCAGTACACTGCTGCTGTGATAAAACACCAGGACCATAAGTAACCCGGGGAAAAAAGGGTTAATTGCATCTCCACTTCCTCATCACACTCTATCGCTGGAGGAAGTCAGGGCAGGAACTCAGGCAGGACAGGAAGTGATGCAGAGGTCACGGAAGGGTGCTCCTTCCTGGCTTCCTCTTCTGGGACCACCAGCGGTGTGTGTGTGTGTGTGTGTGTGTGTGTGTGTGTGACTCCACCCCTTGTGGGATGGGCCCACCCACGTCAATCATCACCCAAGAAAAAGGACCAAAGGTTTGCTCATAGACCAGCCTGGTGGGGGCATTTTCCTCCACTGAGGCACTGTCTTCCAAAACCCCCTCTAGCCTGCGTCAAGGCTGATACAGAAGCTGCCTGGTCCAGGTGGGGAACTTGTGTGAAACATAGTAACAGTGTAGGGAGCTGAGCTGTCTAGACACTCATAAACCCAGCGGGAAGGACCGGGCTGGGCGGAGTGAAGGGGTCTGACACTCCTTCAGCAGACTGTAAGGTCCCTGAAGCAGGTCCCTGCTCTTTGGGGAGAGCCCCATCCCGGGCACAGCCCAGGGCCAAGCTACTACACTTTATGTTCATTTGCCAAATGACTGAAAGACAAACGTCAGCCTCGGTGTCCCAGGTGCATGCGCCGTATGTACGTACGCAGTTTGATACCTGAGCCTAAATCCAGAATAGCAGGTGCCTGTAATTGGCAGAGGTCCAACATAAAAGGCTGCTAACCATCTCACCCAATGACTCCACATGGGGTCCGTTATCAAGACCCCAGAGGAGGCACAAGGACAATACTGACCTTCCGAGTCCCGCCCAGACCGATGACCTTTACATCTGTATGAGGGATCTGTCTACATCTGGACTCCTCAAGTTCACGGTCAGCAACTCTCACAGAGGCTTGGGAGATTTGGGGGTAGTTTCCTTCTGGAACCCAACAGTGGGGTTTAGAAACCTGATTTTGGAGCCAGGCCTGCTGGTGTTTATCTGTAATTCCAGCATTTGGGAGGCCGAGGCGGGAGGATTGCAAATTCAAGGCAACCGTGTGCTATATAGTAAGACTCCGAAACAGACAAATAAAACATTCATTTGTTGTTTGGGGCTAGGATGTAACTCAGTGGTCAAATACTTGCTTAGTACGCTTGATGCCATGGGTTCCACACGGAGTACTTCAAGATAGGAGGAGAAGGAGGGGCTGGAGGGGGAGGGGAGGCAACACCCTATCCTATTGTTATGAAGGTAAGACCTCATTCTCTGTCCCTTCTCACCAGCTGGTACTGGGTTAGAACCCAGGGCCTTAGCGTGTGCCAGGAAATAACTCTACCATTGACCTACACCGACGACCCTCTATAGATCCACAGTTTTCTTACTGTCCCCAAGGCCTCCCCTCCCCCAACAACTGAGGAGCCTGGGGAGCTGTGGTTTTTGAAGTGACTGACACCATGGGCCTACAGGGACACCCCAGGAGGACTCGGCCCCCCTCACGAAAAGAGCAAGGAGCATCTTTATTTATTCCTTCGTTTTTGGTTTTGGTTTTGGTTTTCAAGACAGGGTTTCTCTGTGGCTTTGGAGACTGTCCTGGCACTCGCTCTGTAGACCAGGCTGGCCTTGAACTCACAGGGATCCGCCTGCCTCTGCCTCCCGAGGGCTGGGATTAAAGGCGTGCGCCACCACCGCCCGGCTCTCTCGCTCATTTTTGAGACCAGTCTCACTCTGTAGCTCAGGTTGGCTTCAAGCTCATGGCCATCCTCCTGCCGTAGCGCCTCTAGTGCTGAGATCACATGAGCATAGCACAAATAATAAAAACCCAGAGACAGATACCGGGGATCAAGCTGAAGATCAGAGAAGCAGAGCGGGCACGAGAGAGTTCTCACCACTACCAGCTCTCAGACCGAAGGGGCGACCCTGTCCTCAGACTGCATCTCCAGTGAGCTCCTGTCTCCTCCCTCCTTATCTTCCTCTCTCCGCCCAGCCACATCATTGTCTCCGCCTCCCTAGTGCTGGGATCAAAGGTGTGAGCTCTGTTTCTCTTTTAGTCCGATTCACTCCCACGCAGTCCAGGGTGGCCTTGAACTCACAGAGATCCATCTGCCTCTGTCTCTGAGTGCCGGGATTAAAGGTGTGGCCACCACTGCCTGGCCTTTATGGCTGTGGCTGGCTTTGCTCTGATCTCCAGGCAAGCTATATTAATTAGATCATAAACAAACTGTCACCACGCAGGGGTGAGCTACCGCGCCTGGCTCTACCACCACCCTTCATGCTGCTGTCTTGAGCTGATTTCTTCCTCAAACAAATGAGGAAAGAACAGCCCATTAAAGAAAGGACCCGAAGAGTCCCAGTTCAGACATCCCTTTCAGTTATTAAAAAAAAAAATCAAGATAGAGGGGAAACAAACATCGCCTCATCCTGCTGGACACTGTCCGCCTGCCTTCCCGATCAGTGGCCTCTGCTACCACACCTCACTTCTATTCCTGAGACACAGTGATAAACACTGGCTACGGAGATGGGGCGGGGCCAGGGAGGGGCAGCTGCCGTGACTCCTTCCTTAGGTCCCCAGGGAGCTGCCGAGGCAGGCAGATGGGACTGGTACCGCCAACTGGTGACGCCCCAAAGTAGGGTGCCCCCCTTAGCAGGTGTAGGGACCTCCTCTGTACACAGGTGCCCTGGAGAGGAGCCTCCCTTTGGGGGGCGGGGATTATGTAAATACTTCTTGTAAGTGGTTTCTTTCCTGGCCTGTGTTTAACCTTTATTTAATTGGCTGATTTACTTTACTAATTGATGCTCAGGTCCAGGAAAACCTTCCGCTCTAGGTTTACAGCCTGCTGGAAAGTGATTAAGACTAGCAAACCTACTGCAGGTGACTTCTCCCGCAGGCTGGGGGAGGATCTGGGCTCTAGAAAGAGAGGGAATGCTACCTGCCTGCTTAGTTGTCCTAAGCACCAAACTGACGTGGGTGAGCGGGGACTTCAGGGTAGAGACATCCACTTGATGTAAAAAACAAACAAGCAGACAAAAATCTCTCGAACAGTTAACAATCAAAATAATAACCCTAGGGTTGAGAACATAGCCAGGTGACCTGAAACCTTCCAAACCACAGGAGCCAGGGACTCCATCCCTAACTCTGAAAAAACGGATGAGTCTGGAGGTGGTGGCCTTCCGAGTTTGGAGGGGTTGAGGCAGAGGACTAGGGTCAGGCTGGAGGGGCAAGGTGAGGTGAGATGATGTATCTCTTTTTGTTCCCCCGGCCAGAGGAGCCCCCACCAGCTTGGGGGGCGGGGAACGACACTCTGAATGTTTGGGCTGGAAATCTATCCTCGGATTTGTCGTCCTCCCCAGAGGCATAGACATGCTTTCCCAGGCTGAGCTAAAGCCAAGGGCTTTCTGCATGTGGAGACCTGTCACGGCGCACTGCCAGAGATTGCAACAGGTAGTTGGCGACGTGGAGTACACACACATGAACCAAGTTACGAAACGGAGATGGTATCGCGCATGATGGCAGGGCTGCGGGGGGGGGGCCGAGATGGGGTCTGGAACAGAGCCCGGGCTCAATGGAGATCATTAGGATGGCCGTACCTAAAAAGATTAGCTTTGATGAGCATCACAGCCTTCAGAAACACAGGAAATGAACATCTGCCATTTACAAATTTGCCCAGTGGTTTGCTATGACAACCTAGAGGGGCTAAGAAACAAGGACTTCTGGATCTTTGGGTGGGTGGGGGCATGAACTTAGCGATAGCATAGATAGAAGTGAGGGGTTTGCCGTGTTTCATTTTTGTTCTTAAAGGGTTAAGGGGTAGCCGGGCGTTGGTGGCGCACGCCTTTAATCCCAGCCCTCGGGAGGCAGAGGCAGGCGGATCTCTGTGAGTTCGAGGCCAGCCTGGTCTACAAAGTGAGTTCCAGGACAGCCACCAAAGCTACAGAGAAACCCTGTCTCGAAAAAGTAAAAAAAACAAAAAAACAAAAAAGGGTTACAGGGTGTTGGGCGGTACTGTGTGGGGAGACACAGCTCAGTGGTTAAGAGCACTGGCTGCCCTCCCAGAGGACCAGACCAGATCCCCCCCCCCCCCGCTCCCACGTGGTGGCTCACAACATCCATAACTCCAGTCCCAGGGGATTTAACACTGTCACTGGCCTCCTCAGGTTCTGTATACACACAGTGCACACCCACAAATGCAGACAAAACACCCCATGCTTGCAATGAAAAATAAATTCCTTAGCATGTTTGTCAATTTTGAGATTATACTTTAGCCTTTAAGGCTAAGCAGGACTGGTAACTGAGGGTCTCAGGATTTGCCGGACATCTGTGGGTAGAATTTGGGGGGGAGGGGAGTCTGTGAAACTGACAGGGAAATCTTAGCACTTTCATTTTCATTAAACGTTAGCCAAACCCCAGCATCTTCTCCCCTGTAACCACAGGAAAGAAATCACGCTCGCGTCAGCAGGACCTGCGACTTCGTTCCCAACGGAAACCCCAGATGTCCGTCTGGGCTTGTCAGAGCCGCACCAGGTCCTCCTGTCAGTACAGGGACCCTGGGGAGCTAAACGAGTGTTTGGTGCTGGGATGATCTAGTAACTGCCGACCTTGCAATCTTACAGGCCCTGCCTGTGGTGGCTGCTTGGGATAGGTGTGAACCACCCCTGTACTTGCTGTATGCCTGTGACCAGCAGGTGTGAGCGCTAGTTAGCACGTACAGACACCTGTGCCCGTACTCTCTCGTGATTTCCTCAAAGACTACTCTTTGGCATGGCATAGGCTGGCTTCTTGGCGTGGGAGCCAAGGAGACCAAGGGAGAGCATGGGTGACCCTCTCCCCTTGCTCCAAAGCATCAGCATTGGAAAGATTTCAATTAAAGATGCTGTATAGGGGCTGGGGACATATCTATGTGGTGGAATGCTTATCT